CTGCCGTCACCAGTGCCTAGGCCCCGGGGGGGATCATGCACGCGAGCAAGCGCCGTGCTCAACAGCATCCCGCCCGGGCCTAGGGCGTTTGTCCCGTTTGCTCTTCCCCAAGGTTCCTGGCATCGTCGAGTACCGTGCGTGTGCCGACCCGCGGGCAGTTTATCCCCGGTAGTCTAGGCTGCAGGCGGCTTGTTTTTGCCCTACGCACTGACTGCAGGCGGTTCCAGTCTTCGCCCGCTGCTTGTCTGCAGGCTCCGTTTTACTACGATGTTGAGCTAACTGCGGGTTCCATGCATCTTAATGGCATCCCCCACGTTGAGGGATAAAGAGGCGCAATGTGCATTAATTCAGAATCATGTTCTGCCACTTGCAGTCAACCCACGTTGGAAAATATTGTGCCACAGACTACCACCATCGTTGCTCCCGACGGGCACCCCACCAGAGAGCTCTTTGCCACGGCCGCCATCTTTACAGCATCCAAGCCTCATATAACTCGCAAGTCACTATTTGTTACAATGGATGTATTTAAATTCGTTCTATCTGCAGGAGGACGGAGGGGCCCATGCATTTAAATCGCGACTGGTCACTAGTAAAAACTGGGTAACTAAACTGCAGTTGATTGCTTTTCGAAAGAGGCAGCCGACAACGAAAAGGGGGCCCCATGTGAATCTGCATTGGGGTTTAGAAGTGGAGCTGGAAGCTACTGAAACGCCTGGAACAGTGTTCCGTTCATAGCCGTCCTTCTGCCATCACCACAAGCCGCAAGTTGGCTCGCCGGGGACATCTGTTTTCTCGCATGGGCATGTTTCGGATTGCGGTGGTTGCTTATATATCCTCAGGCTCTTCAAACAACTTGTGGGCCTGGTTCTCTGACCGCAGCTGCTGCGGGGTTTTCCCCCCCCCCCTGCTTGCCGTTCCTCACTGATGCTGATCCCGCTGCTGCTATTCCTGCTGCTGCCTAGTCCCTGCTGCCTGCTCCTGCTGCCTCTACTACTACAGGTGCCGCTGGCTGCTTTTCCTCGCCGCTGCCGCTTCCGCAGGCTTCCAGGCTGCACCTATCTTTACGGGCCGGCCTATTCGACCGTTACGTACCCTGGCTCACGGAACAAGCGGCGCCGCTGGCGTGCCAGTCTGTTGTTCGTATGACTTGACATTTGGTGCTGTGCTTGCTGCCTTCTGATGCCGCTACTGCTGCTATGCTGCCCGCAGTTGCTTCATACTGATTCTGCTGCCGTTTGCTGCTGCTGGCTTCTTTACTTTGACACCTCTCTTCCACCTGCGCATCTCTTTTAGTGAAACATTAAACGCATCAAACAAATATACTTTCGACTGGGGGGCCTTGATACGGATTATTGCTGTTAATATCTTCCGGATGCCCTGCAACGCTGCTGCTGCCTGCTGCTTCATGCTGCTTACCGTTCTGAGCTTATGCTGCCGCTGCTAGCCTTCATACTGCCTTCTGTGCCGTGCTGCCCTGCTTGCTTCCTGTATCTTGAATCTCTCTTCAACTTCGCATCTCGTTTACTGAAACACTAAACAGCTACCAACATATATTTACTGCTTGGCTTTAGATACAGGATTAATGGCTTGTTCTTCTCTCGGCATGCCTGCAAACCCGCTGCTGCTGCTTCATACTGTCCTGATGTACTGCTAATGCTGCTTCTGACTTGTTCTCACTATGGCTACCATTATGCTGCGCTACTTGCGCGCTGCTGCTGCTGCTCATGTACTTTGACACGCCCTCTTCACTTCGCATCTCTTTTACTGAACACATAAACCGGCACTCCCCTATCATTCTACTGTCTTGGCTTTGCTACGGCATATAGTGCTAGCTATTACTCGACCGGACAACTGCTGCAGCTGCTCCCCCCCCCCCCTGCTGCTGCTACCCACCCTGACTACTGCTGCTGGCCTGCTTTATACTGCTCTTACGGCTGCTGCTTCATCCGGCTACTGCTGCTCCTGTGCAGTGCGTTCAGTTACTTTGCCATCTCTCTTCACTTCGCATCTCTTTTACTGAACCCCTGAACAGCTACAACAACATTCTACTGCTGTGGCTTTGATACAGAATTATTACTGTTATTTTCTAAGGACGCTGCTACTGCTGCTGCCGCGGCCGTGATACAGGACTTTTGCTGTTATTATCTGAGGCTACTGCTGCTGCCGCTGCTGCTACTGCTACTGCAACCCATTCTCTCAGAAGCTTATCCTGCTTCTAATGGATGCAGCCCGCTGAGTATGCCGCGCTGCGCCGGACCTCGCACCTATGCTCCCGGGTCGCTTCGGCGGTCGTGCTTCATCTCTCTACTGACTCTCTGATTCTATCCGATGCCAGTGGCCAAGTAGCTGCGCTGAGCGTCATTCGGACTCCTAATCAAGGCATCATACCTGGTTCTTCACTCTTCTGATCACAGGGCTCCCATCATGCTGCCATCTGCAGCGGCGCTGAATCGGCCTCATCTTCCAAGTACATGTCTGCCCTCCTCGCAGCATCTTCTGCTCGCCTTCTGTGGCTACTGGCATAAGCGTGTCACCACTGCTCACTCAACCTCAATGCGGTCCGAGACACGGCTTCCGTCCTATCCTACTGGCCTAATTATCTACTCTCCCAACCCAAGATTCTAAGCGTAAAGGCGCCTGCAACATCACATGGCCCTCTCCGGTGTGTCTCCTGCCCTACAGGTCTCCGCTTCTACACGGACGCTGCCCCTTCCGGTGGGTTTTGGGGGATCTTCCAGGGACCAGTGGTTCGCCGGCCGTGGCCGTACTTTCCCGGAGCATTTCATCTGCCCGACACGAGCCATTCCCAGTGGTCGTGGCCTGCGCGCTGCGGAATCACACGTGGCAGAGAAAGAGGATCTCTGTCATGCGTGCAATCATCTCGACGTAGTGGACGCATTAAACAAAGGTCGCTCTTCTCACCCCACAAAATGTCCCTGGACCAATTCAACCTTCATCTCACAACATTCACAGATCAGAGGCGCCTGCAACAAATAATAGCTCGGCTTCGACCACATCTCTCTGCCCCTACAGGTCATGATGCGTTTACACTCGCTCCGGGCAAAAAGGAGATTTAACGGACCTCTAATTCTCACTCCAGTCAACCTTCCATAACAGCACAGAAGGTTCAGAGCTCAGCTAAGATCCCTATGCTCCTCTGCAATTTGTCTCCCCAGCTCTATACAGCCCACTCCTTCAGGGATAGGCGCTGCCACGCGCGTGACCTCGCTGGGCTCCCCCACTGCGTCCTCTGCACGGCTGGGGCGCTGGTCCTCTTCGGCTTCTCACCATACATCAGGCCAGATGCGACCGCTATCATGGCAGCACCACGTCTACCGGCTTCCTCGTAAGCTCCCAGCAACGCAAGTAAGCAATAAGATTCTGGTGGCGGCACGCACTTTCCTCCAACGCTCAAAGATTCCTTGCTTCAGCGTCTGGCGTGAATATGAGCGTGCGCTCATCTTCTCAGTTCGCTCAAAGAATCCTCTGCTGCGGCTGCTGAACATGCGCGTGCGCGCATGTTCTCAGTTCGCTCAAAAGATTCCTCTGCTGCGGCTGGCTGAGCATTGCGCGTGCGCGCATGGGTCTCTCAGTTCGCTCAAAGATTCCTCTGCTGCGGCTGGCTGCACATGCGCGTGCGCGCATGTGCTCAGTTCGCTCAAAGATTCCCTGCTGCGGCTGGCTGAGCATGCGGTGCGCGCATGCTCTCAGTTCGCTCAAAGATTCCTCTGCTGCGGCTGGCTGAACATGCGCGTGCGCGCATGTTCTCAGTTCGCTCAAAGATTCCTCTGCTGCGGATGGCTGAGCATGCGGTGCGCGCATGCTCTCAGTTCGCTCAAAGATTCCTCTGCTGCGGCTGGCTGAACATGCGCGCCAGTGCGCGATGTTCTCAGTTCGCTCAAAGATTCCATCTGCTACAGCGGTGGGGCTGAACCATGCGCGCGTGCCATGTTCTCAGCTCGCTCTTGCTCTCAGGCCCGCGCAGTAACGTCCTGCTATCCCAATCGCCAGCCGCTTTTTGGGGATCAGGCACGCGAGCAAGCGCCGTGCTCAACAGCATCCCGCCGGGCTAGGGCGCCAAACATGCTCAATCAATAAACATGCTTAAATCAATAAGTCTAATGCGTTTCCTCAGGGTCTCTCCAAGGTGAAAGGAGCTTTCGCGAAAGTTCACCGTGGTAGACCCGGCTGTTGCTGCCAGGCCACAGGTGCTCTTCCTCGACTCATCAATACCAGCAACGCCCACACCCAGTCAACCAATAACCACCAGGACAGCAAGTTAAAGCCGGAGACGCCCACTTCCCGATCTTCTGAAGTCTGCAAGCCGCCCCCGCCCGCCCCTCCTCCTTCTCGCATGAAGCGGTGTTGCCTACTGCCTCTGCCGTCACCAGTGCCTAGGCCCCGGGGGGGATCATGCACGCGAGCAAGCGCCGTGCTCAACAGCATCCCGCCCGGGCCTAGGGCGCCAAACATGCTCAATCAATAAACATGCTTAAATCTAATAAGTCTAATGCGTTTCCTCATGGGTCTCTCCAAGGTGAACAGTATTGTGGACTTCCATTCATATGCACCTCACTAGAACAACTTTAATCACTACATACACTGCAAAAAATGTAACATATGAGGTAATAATTGCTTGAATGTAGTAGTTTTTATCTTAATCTGAGCACATTCTGACTGTTTTAAAAGGCGTTTAATTGTGTTTCAAGAACTGTTGTTTTATTTTCCAATTTTAAGTGAGGCATTTCTTGTATTTTTTTAAAACAAGATAATTTTGCTTTCTCCCATTGGGCAGTCAAAATGTGCTCAATTAACATACATTTTGCCAAATTTGAGCATGTTTTTGACTTTTTGCAGTGTATTCTCTAACCCTGTTCTATTTACAAAGCCCTATTTTTCAACACTGACCACAAAATAAGTCAGAAATAGTAAAGCCATTGTGTGAGGAATGACTATTCTAAGTGCATTCAGCAGTGGCTCAGGGGGCGTGCAGCACTCACAGTGAGGTTGAGGGGGTTGATGATGTCGCCGGGCGGGGTGCACTCTGTCTCCGAGTTGGTCGTCACGGTGACCTTGGTCAGGTACAAAAGCCACTTCCCGTTGGCCACTTCAGCCGGCCACTCGAACTCCACGACCAGAGAGGCCAGATCCCCCAGAGGCTGCCCCCCCATGTTCACCTGCAGACAAGGACACGTGTGAGGGCCGAGAAGGTCAGACCAAGACCAGACCAGCCCTGATTTGGCCCGACTCGGCTCTACTCTAGGCACGTTTATTTGTATAGCACAGGTCATACACAAGACAATTCAAAGTGCTGAACAAACACACAACAAGGCATACAATAATCACAGTACATTAAAAAAAGAGAAGATGAAATCCTTCAGTTGTTAAAACATAACTGTTTAAACCTGGATTTGAACATTGTCAGAGAATAACTCTGTCTCAAATTTAGCTCCATAAATCTGAATATCTACTCGGCTCTCTACCTGGTTGTGTTTCCCTTACGCCTATCTGCTATCTACCCACAACAAACCAGCATCTATGGAAATTCCTTGGTAACCACGGCTTCCAGTAGCACTCTCACTTTTTGCAGTGTATTCTCAATGTTCTATTTACAAATCCCTATTTTTGAACACTGACCACAGAATAAGTCAGAAATAGTAAAACCTTTGTGTGACTGTTGTGCATTCAAACAGTTGCATATTTATATTTTTTTCCCGCTGTGCACTTTGGGGGAGTGTGAAACATTTCCTGTCTTTGCAAAAGACAGGAAATGTGCAAACATGTCAAAAGGTGAAAAAGATATAGAGTATAGAGCGGTCCATCCATCCATTTTCTTCCCCTTATCTTTTTTAAATGACAGCTAGGCTAGTAACAGCTAGGCTAGCTAACTAACTAGACCTCTCTGGAACTACATGACGACAGCAGACCTCAGAGGGAGTGGTGCAGTGGGTCTCGTACCTTCAGGCCCAAAGTCCGATGCTCTACCAACTGAGCCACTGTTGCTTTCTCAGCTAAAATATTAAATTATTATGTTTTAGTCTAATTTGGACTAAAACGTAGGAATTAAATAACAAAGAACACATGATGCAAAATGCAGCTTACACATGTTCTCTTTGAAAGCATCATTGATTTAGTCATTTTGCCAATCTTCATCACAATAAACAGCAGAAACAGGCTCCACCCACTCCCGCCACTGAAACCCCCGGGGCAATAAGGAAGGACTCACATTAAAGGTGAAGTCCACCAGACTGCCCACGTTGCTGCTGTTGACCATGGCCGACTCGCCCCGCACCTCGCCGCTGAACTGGGTCTGCACCACGGGCTTCACTCTGAGGAAACACGTGGGTTCGGTCTCGCTCTCAGGGTTCTGAGTCTGAATGTTGGGACTTACACGGAGAAGGACGGACGGATGGTGTTTTCAATGAGGAGCGCAGCGGGAACAGGGACCAGGTCCGTCTGCTCGCTCACTCTGCAACACAACCAACAGTTTAGCCCTCACACATTCTTTTATATATATATTATTTTTATTCTATTTTAAGGACAATAAAAATCCAGACAGACTGAACAGAAATAGAAGCTCAACAATAAACACAAAGCAAAGACAAAGAAAAAACAGACAAAGAATTCTTTCACATTCACACAAAAACTAAAAATGTTAATGATCAGAAGTCTTTCCAATGATAGAAATGTTTTGTGTCATAACATTTTGCATTTTAAATGGGCTTGAATGTTTTCATTAGAATTTTTTTAACCCTGAAAAAGCATGTTTGAAATGTTTTGTCTTTGCATTTCAGTCACTAAAATATTCAAGATGTTAAAAAAGTCTAAAAGATGAATTCAGGTCCATTTGATATTCAGTTTCTGATGGAACAAATCTTTTTTTTAGGATCGAAAATAAACAATTTGAACATTTTGAAGGTGATTATGTCATTTTGAAATTTTAATTACATTGAAATTTGTAAACTGAATTTTTAGTGACAGACATGCAACGGTAAACATAATCAAACATGCTTTTTCAGGGTAAAAAGTTCAAATGGAAAAATTCAAGCTCCTTTAGAATAAAAAATCTGATGACACCACAAATCTTCAATATAAAGCAACAAGAATTGTATCCCTCACTAATTAACAGCTAATTAGACTAGATTGTGAATACTTGCTCTTCATTATGCTAAAGTTAGAGATTTTAGACTTGCTTCTTTGTTGTGAAAAGTAGAAGAAGAAGAATTTCCTCAATTAGGGTTTAAAGGGTCTTAGATCATCTAATTTCAGCTTTAAAAATCTATTTAGTCTAACTTTTTATCACTGTAGGGGTCAGTTTGACCTGAGGATAGCACAAGGATTAAAGCTGCTCTACCTAAGTGGAACTAGAAGTCATAAGTTTACATACACATAAAGAAAACCTGTCCGTCTGAATGTCTGCTGGATCCATACATGACTTTGATCACGTTATTCAGAACATGATTTATAATTTAGTTTTTTTATTCATAACAGCACAACCTCCAAGGATGAGAAGTGTGCACACAAAAATGGCAGAAAGAAAAGTGAGACACAAGGACCACCACTCCTGCTCAGCCAATCAGCTCTCAGCCAATCAACTCTCAGCCAATCAACTCTCAGGCAATCAACTCTCAGATGGTGACTTACGTAGAGAGAAGCAGCTGCGAAACAATTTCTCGTGTGTATAAATCAATCCCTGACGTCTCAAATTTCAGCGTCAGTGTCAGCTGATCAGACAAAAGGTGAGTGTTAGTCTCCTGTTGAAGGATGTGTAAATAATGCAGGCCTGAAGGAACTCTACCTTGTCGTTGCCTTTGAGCGGATTTCCAAGTTCACAGATGAGTGTTTCCTTGAGCTCGCATTCCACAGGACGATCCTAAAGCATCACATTACATTTATTATTATCTATAACCTCCTGAGCTCATGTGTGGTCTCTGCTGGCCTCTGCTGGTCTATGCTGGCCTATGCTGGCCTATGCTGCCCTCTGCTGGCCTCTGCTGGCCTCTGCTGGCCTCTGCTGGCCTCTGCTGGCCTCTGCTGGCCTCTGCTGGCCTCTGCTGGCCTCTGCTGGCCTCTGCTGGCCTCTGCTGGCCTCTGCTGGCCTCTGCTGGCCTCTGCAGGACTCTGCAGGACTCTGCAGGACTCTGCTGCTCTCTGCAGGCCTCTGCAGGACTCTGCAGGACTCTGCAGGACTCTGCAGGACTCTGCAGGACTCTGCAGGACTCTGCAGGACTCTGCTGCTCTGTGCTGGTCTCTGCTGGTCTCTGCTGGGGCCTCACCTGAGCCTCTCGGACCCCAGAGTACTTCAGAGCCTCTGGGACAGTCATGTTGAGCTCGGCCTGGTGAGCGTCTTCAGCCAGTTTCCCGCCGGACGCCACGTTGGTCACCTCCACCTTGAGCCAGATCAGTTTGATGTCACTGCTGTAGTGGAAGACCTGGAACCTGCCCTGTCTGCACAGACATGACACTGGTGAGAGCCACTGTCACACTAGCATTTTAAAACTCAGCAAACATGGATGAAAGATGAAAGGAGACAACAGACAAAAGTCAAAGTTGCTTTGATGAGAATGTGACATCTGAAAATGGTTTCACTTTTGATGTCTGATCCAAAGTTTAATTTTGCTGGATGTATGCGTTTCAGAATAAAAATCAGAATCATTTTTATTGCCATGTAAGTAACAGGAAGTCACAGACTTGGAAATTGCTTTGGCTCGGTGCATCAGTCAGAAAGAGAGGTAAAGAATAGAGAATAGAGTAAGGCATCATAAAAATCAGCATACACTTCTAAGGTCTGCTGATCGTAATAATTCTTTAAAATATAATGATTACGATTACAATTTCTATATACAATATGCACATGGTGCACACAATATACGTTGATCTTATATGCTCTATCTTTGTATTTATACTCAGAAAATGTATGTTTCACCTACCACCTATTCTCTGGACTCACGAGTATAGGTTTGTAATGAATCCATAATCATCTCTTAATCTCAATGTTAAAAAGCTGGAGGAACAGAGAGTTGAACACATGCTATATCTTGATTATTGGTTTAGATCCTGAAGCTCAGTGAATACGGGATTTGTTCTACATTTATTCCAAACTTGGCTCCGGTGATGGAGCCGTCAAATTGACTGCTCAGTGAGTCCTAGTGTCATGAGGTCTTGTACCTGGGGTAGGCCTTCTCCCTGTCGTCCACGTACTGAGCAGAGAGCTGCAGGTTACTGGAGCAGGTGTTGTCTGCTCCACACTCTTTCAGAAAGTGAATCTGCAAAAACACATGAAATAAAGTTTTATTTGTGTTTACCTCAGACATTAGTGACTTAGTTTTACCTCTGTTCTCTGCGTGAGTTTCTGCTCCTGGCTGAAGATGGGGTACGCGTCCAGGTTCTGCAGCGCCCGTCTTGATTTTGGCTTTTGCTCGTTTATGGAAACGTTAAGAGAGAAAACCACGGGCTCCAGTTTGTCTCGGAGCGGCGTCTGTTGAGCGTAGCAGTCACACGTATCTCACACTCGCAGCAGGAGCAAAAACACCTGATGGTCACAAACATCTTACCACGATGGACAGCTTCACACTCTGACATTCCTTCTTGGCCGCGGTCAACGGCAGCGTGTCGTGGAAGGCGTCCTTGTTGTCCTGGAAGACCACCCTGGCGCTCTTCCTGGTGTCCATGTCGGCTTCGATGGTGTATTTGACGTCTGCACAGAGAACAGAAATGACCATGTGTGCAGAGTCTGGTCACATGGTGCTCACTCACTGATGGTCTTCTTAAAGTTCTTGTTCCCGTTGCTTAGTGTGAAGGACATGCAGACGGTGGCCGTGATGCTGCAGACAAACCGTTAGATTCAGACTCACAGAAGAGACGATGGAAGAGCTCAGTACTCACCAGGCCTGGTCTCCACACTGATTTGGGTCCACAATCTTCGGCTCCACTGTTATTTCTTTCGTTAAATGGATCACTGGCCTCGATCTAATCGAAAAAACAGGTTTTGTTCTAAAGTGAAAACCAATAAAAAAATGTACCTACATTTTGTTTGATTTATAGTACTGGCCTCAATCAATAAAGGCAAGCCACCTGCAGTGAAATCCAGATCCCATCAGACCTCTGAAGCTAAGCAGGGCAGGGCCGAGTTAGTAAGTCATTTCTTTATTTTTATACCGTCTTTCACAGACCACAGTCACAAAGCGGTTTACAATTATTATTTTTGGGCATTTGTCTCTCACTCTACACAGAGATGGGAGCGGGGCCAGTACAGGAGGCGCATGGCAGACTTATTGTACATGTTTTTAGTGGTAGGGGAAACCGGAGTACCCGGAGGAAACCTACGCAGACACGGGGAGAACATGCAAACTCCACTCAGAAAAGCCCTAGTCCGACTAGGATTCAAACCCAGGACCTTCTTGCGGAGAGGCGAGAGTGATATCCACTCACCGTGCCGCCCGTACTGTAGTACTGTGAAGGGAGACCTCAGGGGCCACAGTGGGGCGGCTGTAGCTGTAAAGTGCCAAACTGTGGTTGTGTCCTTTGGCAAGACACTTCCCCCAGATTAGAATGAGTCTGGTGTGTGTGTGAATGGTTTGTGGTGGTGGGAGGGGCCGATGGCACAGACTGGTTGTCTCGCTTCTGTCAGTGTGCCCCAGGGCAGCTGTGGCTACAGTAGTAGTTTATCACCACCGTGTGAATGAATAATGCTGTGAAGTGTCTTTGAGTGTCCAAAAGCACTGTATAAAACCAATACATTATGATTAATATTAATAATCATTATGAGCATTGAATAAAGCACACCCTGTTAAAACAATCTTCAAAAACACTGATCAATCTTATCACTGACTGTCAGAACGTTTCTGCTGCAGCTGCTTAAATCTTCAACATTTGTGTTTCATAAAAACATGTTTCAACAGAAACATTGTTTCAGTAACATTTTGTAAACAAATCAAAGCACCTCATGCTGTCTTCATCTTCAAAGAAAACATCTTTTCCACACTGAGAGCTGATTGGAAAAAATGAGTGTGTGTGTGTGTGTGTGTGTGTGTGTACCTTAACAAAGCAATGCGGTCGTCCAGGGAGCCCACCACCAGGTCTGGGTAGCTGTTCTCGTCCATGTCCACGCCGCCGCTGATGGAGTATCCAAACGTGCTGAAGCCTGCTGTCCCAATGGACTTACCTTCAATGACCTGCAGGGGGCAGCAGAGACTAAAGGTGAGCTGCAGCTGTTGTGTAGAACATCCTCTGCATGACTTCATACCTGACTGGGCTTCTCAGAGATCCCCTGCTTACTCCCAGTCCAGATGTAGACCTGTCCAGTCTCATGGAAGGGGGCGCCCACCGCAAAGTCTACACACACACAGCACTTTATACAATCACACACAACACTTTATACAATCACACACAGCACTTTATACCATCACACACAACACTTTATACAATCACACACAACACTTTATGCCATCACACACAACACTTTATACCATCACACACAGCTTTTTCATGTTTCATGTTTATAATAATGATGACATCTATTAGGACTGGTATAGGACAGTTTGGACGGTTACCTTGAAAGCCGTCCTGGTTGATGTCCCCGATAGCGGCTAAAGCGAAGCCAAAGCCTGAGGCGGCGGGCCCCGTCAGCACCACAGACGCCTTCTTCTGGAAGGAGGCGTTCTCGTTCATGTAGACGTACACTGCTCCCCCGTGCTCCTTCATGCGGTCGAAGTAAAAGGGGGCGCCCACGATCAGGTCGTTCCAGCTGCAACAACAACAACACATCATCTTTCATGTCCATATGAGAAAGTGAGAAGTTTATCTGCAGCAGGAGGAGCGCCTCTATCAGCATCACCGTCTCTGCACAGGATTATGGCAACAGAGCATCACAGCTTTAGTCTCTGATAAAGTCTGGGCAGGAGTTCACCAGCTCAACCTCTCACAGTTACTATACTCTACATGTCTGACTCAGAGTTTTTCTATTGGTTTTCTTATTTATCACAAACCAAACATTTGTTATTAATCATTAATAAAATACTTGTATTTATTCCATTTGGTATAGGCCAGGGGTCGGCAACCCGCGGCTCTTTAGTGCTCCTCGAGTGGCTCCTGGAGCCTTTTCAAAAATGTCTGAAAATGGAGCTATATTTTTTTCTAGTTTGAGTGTGGTTTCTGTAAGAAAAAAAACATTCTTAACGTTTTTAAGTGCTGTAAAAATGTGCAAAAGTAATATTCAATTTCAACATACGGTGGGGCAAAAAAGTATTTCGTCAGCTACCGATTGTGCAAGTTCTCCCACTTAAAATAATGAGAGGTCTGTAATTTTCATCATAGGTTCACTTCAACTGTGAGAGACAGAATGTGAAAAAAAATCCAGGAATTCACATTGTAGGATTTTTAAAGAATTTATTTGTAAATGATGGTGGAAAATAAGTATTTGGTGACTTCAAACAAAGAAGATCTCTGGCTCTCACAGACCTGTAACTTCTTCTTTAAGAAGCTCTTCTGTCCTCCACTCGTTACCTGTATTAATGGCACCAGTTTGAACTGGTTATCTGTATAAAAGACACCTGTCCACAGCCTCAAACAGTCAGACTCCAAACTCCACTATGGCCAAGACCAAAGAGCTGTCGAAAGACACCAGGAAAAGAATTGTAGACCTGCACCAGACTGGGAAGAGTGAATCTACAATAGGCAAGCAGCTTGGTGTGAACAAATCAACTGTGGGAGCAATTATCAGAAAATGGAAGACATACAAGACCACTGATCATCTCCCTCGATCTGGGGCTCCACGCAAGATCTCATCCCGTGGGGTCAAAATGATCATGAGAACGGTGATCATAAATCCCAGAGCCACACAGGGGGACCTGGTGAATGACCTGCAGAGAGCTGGGACCAAAGTAACAAAGGTTACCATCAGTAACACACTACGACGACAGGGAATCAAACCCTGCAGTGCCAGACGTGTCCCCCTGCTGAAGCCAGTGCATGTCCAGGCCCGTCTGAAGTTTGCCAGAGAGCACATGGATGATACAGCAGAGGATTGGGAGAATGTCATGTGGTCAGATGAAACCAAAGTAGAACTGTATCGCTGTAACTGTAACCATAGTAGAAGAATACTGAGTTGCATCCCAAGAACACCATACCTACTGTGAAGCATGGGGGTGGAAACGTCATGCTTTGGGGCTGTTTTTCTGCTAAGGGGACAGGACGACTGATCCGTGATAAGGAAAGAATGAATGGGGCCATGTATCGTGAGATTTTGAGCCAAAACCTCCTTCCATCAGTGAGAGCTTTGAAGATGAAACGTGGCCAGGTCTTCCAGCATGACAATGATCCCAAACACACCGCCCGGGCAACGAAGGAGTGGCTCCGTAAGAAGCATTTGAAAGTCCTGGAGTGGCCCCATTGAAAATCTGTGAAGGGAGTTGAAAGTCCTTGTTGCTGCTCTCGAGAAGATCTGCATGGAGGAATGGGCCAAAATACCAGCTAATGTGTGTGCAAACCTTGTAAAGACCTATAGTAATCGTTTGACCTCTGTTATTGCCAACAAAGGTTATTGTACAAAGTTTATGAGTTTAATTTTGTTTATTGGCCAAATACTTATTTTCCACCATAATTTACACATAAATTCTTTAAAAATCCTACAATGTGAATTCCTGGATTTTTTTTTCACATTCTGTCTCTCACAGTTGAAGTGTACCTATGATGAAAAAAATGGAACTTAAAGTTAAAGCAGAGTCGTCACGTGGTGCGTCATTCTCTCCATGACACGCTGCAGTGAAAACACACATTTGATAATCATGAATGTTTAATATGTATTTGTAGCCTTTACTTTGTCATTTCGATATTAGGCTAATATACAGCTGCAGCTTGTGTTACCTTCATATAAGCCTTATACAAGGCTCCAGACACATGTTGTTTTTAGTTTTTTTGTCAAATATGGCTCTTTGAACCTTCTGAGTTGCCGACCCCTGGTATAGGCCAATACTTTTAACATTAGCATCTGCGGCTTAGAACATACTCATCGTTGTTGAGGTCGGTGACAGCGAGGCTGCTCCCAAAGTAGGAGCCCACCTGCTCCCCAGGGATGAGCTGCACCACCTCCAGAGCACGCTCTCCCTTACGCCCCAACAGCACGGCCCCCCTGGCCTCCTCCCTGGGGGCCCCCGACACCACTGTGCTCTTCTCCTGGTCCAGCACCTTCTTCTCCTGCAGCACCGAGTAACCTGCAGAGGAGAGGTGAGGAGGGAGAGGAGGTGAGGAGGTGAGGAGGGAGAGGAGGGAGAGGAGGGAGAGGAGGTGAGGAGGGAGAGGAGGTGAGGAGGGCGAGGAGGTGAGGAGGTGAGGAGGGAGAGGAGGGAGAGGAGGGAGAGGAGGGTGAGGAGGTGAGGAGATGAGGAGGGAGAGGAGGGAGAGGAGGGAGAGGAGGTGAGGAGGTGAGGAGGTGAGGAGATGAAGAGGGAGAGGAGGTGAGGAGGGAGAGGAGGGAGAGGAGGGAGAGGAAGGAGAGGAGGTGAGGAGGTGAGGAGGGAGAGGAGTCTTTACCGATGTAGCTGTGTCTGAGGTTGGACATTTGTCCTATGTTCTTCTCCTGTGTGTCCCAGGACATGGTGGGGTCAGGATTTCTCCAGGTCACGTGGACATTTCCTAGATGCAAAAACACAAATTCAACTTTTTTTTCTTTCTGTCACCACAACCAAAGGATA